TAGTGTGTTTTAAGTTGGGTTTAGAGTTGTATAAAATATCGCGAGATTTTTTAAAATTGCATTGATTCGTATCAATTCATACCGTTCTATCCATCAACCACGGTTTAAACTTTTAAATTGATAATCCACCTTTGAAACCGCTCCAGTCCGTTATAATTAATACATATATATTTTTTAATCTATAATGAAATATCAAAGTAAAAATGAGTGTGAGAGATTTAATATATGAAATTTATTACAAATTAGTAGTTATATACATAAAAAATAGTATTTAAAATTAATTTGTGTTATATATATGAAAAATATTATGCAAATTAATGTTATATATTATGCAATGGCTTGATAATTAGTTAAAATGTTCTTCAATCCGCCAATCCGCCAAAAACTGCCCAAACCGCAATTTGTCAATCCGCTAATCTGCTAACCTACCATTCGGTTTGTAATTTTACTCTCCAACCGCCCGAACCGCACCGCGCACAACGATGTCACGCCCGCTGGAAAAAAGAAAAACCTAATCCCTTAATAAAGTCCTTATCCGCATAGGCTCCACCCTTAGGATTTGAGTTTTGCTTATTCATCATCTCGAATTTCTTGCAAGAAGAGCATAGAGTAGAGTTTGGTTGCCATTGATGCACACAGTGAAAACTGAGCAAAAATTGTTTTCATATATATGTATAGATGTATAATTCAAAAAATATTGTTGGTAAAAAAAAGGTTTAATGTCGGTTTTCTTCCTTCTATTCTAATGAAACAATTGATTAGGTGGCGAGCCAGACATGTGGTGAGCTATGAGACGAGACAAATCATCAACCAGACTGCACATTAGGAGACAGCAGCAAAACCAAGCCCCATGTAAAAGGTAAAGACTCATTGATTTGACAAGCAGTGAACTCGTGTCAAATAATAGCTCTCTCTCTCTCTCTCTCTAAATGAAAGAACTTTCATTTATGTAATTGTTCTTATTGCAATGTAATTGTTAGCACTCCAAGGCAGTCACTCAATAATATCTAATTGTAAAAACCTCGTAAGATTAATACACGCAAGCAGTCACTCATCTAAAAATGCACAATCAAGCAATGAATAGCCGCCACTAAAGTCAGCTCGGCCCAACAGTGTATTTACCATCAAGGCCTAACTTGGAAACCTAAAATGTTACAACATAAATATAACACATTTCTTTGGGGCAAAGGCTTCTAAATAGAGTCCTAATCAATTTGCAACAAAATAAGAAACAAAATGACTACACAAGTTCCTTCTTCTTTGGTTCAAGAACAGGAGGGTCAACATCAATACCCATATTAGCTGCGGTGCCTGCAATAATTCTCATTGCAGATTCTATACTTGAACAATTCAAATCCGGCAACTTTTCATTTGCAATTGTACGTAATTGGTCAATCGTGATCTTTCCAACTTTCTGTAACTGCGGGTCTTTTGAACCTTTCTCCACTCCTGAAAACCCACTCAACATAATTAACAGCTAGTTTAAATAACAATAGGCACACGTTGAAAGCTCATTTTTTTGAAACAAGTAAGCTATTAGTAACATCATTTTCTTTTCACTTAATTTTCCAAGGTTGCCCATCAGAAGGTGAGTTAGAGCTCTTCTGCGTCTATACTGCAGTTTGAAAATTGCAATATAAAAATAGATTAAGGTCATAAACCAAAAGCTTTTACACCATAAGTTACTAGGCTTAAAGCCCAGCTTTCAATGACACATCTACATTGATAACATACTCAAATAATGATAATGCAAACCAAGTTATTATTTTCCAGGATTAAAAGCAATAACATAATACCTCTGGGATTACTATATTAGAGATAACTAACATTTAGATTAAAACATAGTCGTCAGTTCCTTCAGTAGCCACCACAAGTTCATCCATTCAAGGTTAGATGTTATAACCCACTAGATGAATATAAATGGCAGTCACAGAGTTCACAAATCACTAAGCAGACAAAAGAAATGATTAGGAACTCAAAGGCAGAGCTATATACTTCAGCTCAGCTGAGGTAAAGACTTCATGGTGACAGAAGAAGCTCATAAAAGAATCAAATGGAGTATGGAATGAAAGATATATCATGAATCCAAAGGCAAGCATGATCAAATATATCAATGCACTGAAGGATGACAACTTATCACATATTCGAAACCAAATTAATTGAAGTAGGGATGTTACATAAGTACACACAGAAAACAAAAAAAAATGTGCAATGTGTAACTTGCATCCCTTGAGCAACTCTATTTCATGAAGTCACTAATGCATTCCCCAATAATATAATATATCACATCATCTGATACATAATATATCAGGTTATCATATTCCATCATATGAGCATATCCAAAAGTGCAATGAACTTTAAAGATATCAGCTGGAAGAAATATATACCTACATATCTCGGATGTGTACACAGATTTGTTACACTTTGTACCTTAATGATAGCACCCACAAATTGCAAGCACAAGTATATAACTAAAATTGTCTATTGTTCATTATTCACTTCCCCATCAGTAACATTATTTACTAAGACATTACCTTAGAAACCCAACAAAAAGATAAAGAACGTATCCCCGCATGTTCACCAAAAATGTCAACTTGAACTCTATGCTTTGACATGATTAAAACCAGTGCATTCTGCAGCTATAAATGTGAGAATCCCCATCACGTATTATGCTTTTAATCCTTTAATTTTGTATGTGCTTATGTGCTTAGTGTGAATTTGAATGTTAATTATGTGTTTAATATGATTCTTGGATTCAAATCTATTAATCGTAGGAATATCTGTTGTGATTTCTATTATAATATGAAATTGAAGGCCTTCATAGCGTCAAAAACCGATATTGGTTAGTTTATTATGAATGGCATAATTTTTAGAGCCTAACGGGAAGTTTGATTAAAATTGGATTCAGTTTAAAATTAATTAGATCAACTCAATTTAATTAAGTTTGTTTGATTAGCCTTAAGCTCTCTAATTAATTAGCTTAACCCTTGATTAGTGTATTAAGTTAATTAAGCCTTATATATATGTTACGAATGAGATTAGGCTCATTATTTTGCACTCAAAAATCTGAGAAAAAGAATTTTAGAGAGAGAGAGTTCAATCTAGAGAGAGGAAGAGCTTGGAAGCTTGGAATTGCTTGTAAGATTGAAGAATTGTGAAAGGGAATTCAAGTTCTCGCTAGAATTTGCTTGATTGAAGACCTTAGGTAAGCTTCTAAACCTTAATTTCTGAGTTTAGGTCATCAAAGATGTGAATTCAAGAAATATATGATTAAATATAAGAAATGAGTTAAGGATGATGCATTTGAAGCTAAATCACACATGCATACATAGTTTTGCTGAGTTTCATCATTTTGAGTATGATTTTTGTCATCCATGTTAGAATTGAGGATCATATTATACATGCATTCAAGAATTAAGTTGTTTTGAAGCTAATCTCCATGTTTCGTAAGCTTTGGAAAGGAATTTGAAATTAAATGTTACATGCATGATCATTTGAGTTTGAATTCATGAAGTTTGACCATGAGGTTTGAGAATTGGTTTTGTATCCATGTGTTATAGAAGAGTTTTTAAGTGTTTGAGAGGTTGTGTACAAGCTATGCAAGCTTTTGATTTGAAAATATATGCTTTGAAGTTCTATTCAGTTTTGCAAAACCCGGATTTCGACCTAATCGCTCGAATGAACAAGCCATCGCTCAAGCACACATATCATGCATCCAGTTTTGCAGAGTTTTGTTGTAGGCTCGAGTGACCAAGTTAATGCTCGAGCGAGTTCATTTTGCACCTTGGCTCGAACAACCATCGAGCTTAGATTCGGACCATCCAATACTTTGCAGACCATGTGATCCGCTCGAGCGACTAATGTTGCGCTCGAGCGAAGTGCCTTGTTTTAGCATATATTTTGAAAAGTCATAGGTTGTTCACAATTCCGTTCCCATTCCTTTTTGAGCACTCTTAGGCATAAATTGAGTATTCTAAATGAATTAAAGAGTTAGAAGCCTAAGAGAATTGAATAAGTTAATGAACGGTTTAAATAAGTAATGTGATCCGATATGTTTGTGTTATGAATTGTGTAGGTTCATCCGCGAGGCCGTATTAACAACCAAATCATTGTGAGTCATATCTTAGTAAAGATATTTTGTTATATGCTACTTTCTTAAATGCTTTTATGGTAAGTCTCGGAGCTTATGATTTTTGAAATACGAATGAGACTTCGAATGTTTCAATGCGACTTTTGAATTTGATTTGATAAAGATTAAAGTATGATGGACCTAAGGTCATTTTGCATATAATGGACCTAAGGTCAATTTGCATATGAGTTGGACCATGATCGCTTTGTATATTTGTCTCAATGGACCCAAGATTGTTTTGTATATTTGTCTCAATGGATCAAAGGTCGTTTTGAATAAGAACACATTGGACCAAAGGTCGTTTTGAATAAGAATACATTGGACCAAAGGTCGTTTTGAATATGAATATGTTGGACCCAAAGTCGTTTTGTTCCTTTGATATGTTTTAAGTATAATGGACTGGACCCGAGGTCGTTTTGCTTCGTTATGATTTGCTTAAGTCTGTTATGAATGGGAATAATATTCCACATGTAATAAGTGTAAGTATGATTTATTTATATACGAATCTCATTCATTAACCTCTTTACTTTGATGTTATTCTCTGGATTTTCGCTTACTCTTTATATATATATATATGTATGTAGGTGAGCAACCGGCTGTGAGATGTCAACTTGGAGTGCCTCTTCTTCGAGGCTTTTGATTATTTTGTTTTCATCTTTTACTTTCTTTTGTTGGTCATGTTTGACCATATCTGTATATAAGTTTTGGTTTTTGTATGGTTGTGATATATGTAGGATCTTGGACGTGAGATTTCTTTATATATGTATGGGTGTGAGTTATTAATGTACAAAATGATTTCGTTCATGCCATTTATGCACAAGCTCATTAGACAAATTTTATATTTCTATTTCTATTTCTATTTCTGCTTCTGCCTCTGCTCCTAGCCCCAGATAATTAATTATGATTTGATTTCTATTTGAGGTCGTAGGTAATCTCATGATTACTGGTCAGTTATGATCCAAACCTCTAGGAGCGGGGTTTGGGTCATAACAATAAACATCATCTAATCCCCACCCACCCCAACTAAACTGACAGAATGAAAGAAAGAAAGAAAGAAAAAACACCATTATTGCACAGATACCTGCAGTTTGAAAAATACACCTGATTCGGCAACCAACACAACTAGCCTTGGGATGTCATTCATAAAAAATTATTTGGCTCATTAAAGATAATAAATTTCAATGATCCAAGTGTTATGTCAACCAAAGTGAGGGATAGAAACATTCAGGGCTTGTTTGGTTTGTTTTTGGGAGAGTTGTTTTTGAAAAAAAATTTCCAAAATCACTATCTCTCTCTTACACATCAATCAATCACTTTTTCTCTCTCATTTCTTCTTCTCAATCACTTTTTCTCTTACACATAACTACTCAATTACAACAAAATATCAAATCACTCCAAACTCCAAAACTACTTTCAAAATATACAACCAAATAAACCAAAAAAATTTCTAAACTCTCTCCAATTTTTTTTTTTTTTTTGAAAATCACTCTCCCAAAAACAAACCAAACACACCCTCAGTTTCCACAATGTCTCCAAACGCATCATTTTCCAAAGTTCTTCTTCCTTCTAATTACATTTTCTAACCTTATCAAATTTAAATGACATGGAAATAAAGAAGGATACTATCTACTGGCTGTGCCAAAGGTCACCATCTTCCTCCACAACTTAAGCTATAGTTCTGGCAAAGAGGAACCTTAACATTTTGATCACTGTTAATTCTTAATCACAAGAATTCCAGTAACCTCAGGGATTTGCATAATTGAGAATTTATCCCTCAATTTGATTTTAATTATAAGAGAGATCAATGCTAAAAGTACCATTCGTTCCATTTAATATATATATACATATCAAATTAGCGAATAGGGTCATCATAAACGAAAATAACTGAACATACATTCCAGGCATTTCAAAGCAACACAAATGCACCACATCAGCAATGAAACCTCTTGCATGAACACTGATGGGAACTGGGAACAATTGAAATGGTAGTAGAAAAGAAAAGCATTAAACATTAGGTCAAAATAAATAAATTGAGGAAGATACCTGCAGCCTTAAGGAGAAGAACTGAAGCAGGTGGAGTTTTTAAGATAAAAGTGAAGCTTCTATCCTGCAGTGGGGGGAAAAAAAAAGGGATACATTTCAGAATGAATGAATTATACATTTCAGAAATTTAAAAGCAACGGGGTTGAAGACCATCTCCAACCCTTCATCAATTTTTTTCATCAAATTTGATTCGAAATTTTAGTAAAAGGCTTGATTTGATATGAACTACTCCAATCCTGTCATCAAATTGTCATCATTTTTTCTTTTTTTAATTCCTCTCTTATCCCAAATTTCCCTTTTCATCAAATTCGATGAAAAAAAAATCATCTCCAATGCTTATCTTTTTAAATTTTCATCAAATTCAAATTTGATGACGGATTTGATGCATTCTCAGTTTGATGAAAAAAAATGACTCTCCGTTGATTTGATGAAGTGATTTGGAGATGATTTTTTAATACTTTTTCATCAGATTTAAATTTGATGAAAGAAAAAGTGAAGGATTGTAGATGCTCAGTAATCAAAACACCAGCACTAGAACAAAATGAACACAAAAAGTCTAGAAAACCAATGTTTCTACTTAGGGACAGAACAGAAGCCCTCCAATGAAGCTAACAAATTCATAACAGAAATTTGCACAAAATGATGAATTTAGAAATGAGGAAGGGAATTTCAGAGAAAAATAAGACTAACATACGTCGAAGACAGTAATTTCAACAGGGATGACATAACCAGCTTTGTCGGCAGTCCTTGCATTGTAGTCTTTGCAGAATGCCATAATATTGACACCTTTAGCACCGAGAGCTGGACCAACAGGGGGTGCAGGTGTGGCTTTCCCAGCCTCCAGAGCCAGCTTAACTACCCCTGTCACTGCAACCACCCATATATACATATATATAAACATTAGAAAGATAAGATAAGATAAGGGAATGTTTGTAAAATAAGCAATTGTTTGATTGAAATTACCTTTCTTGGGTTTACCACCAGAAGATTTAGGGGGTGCCATGGAGATGACAGTGAGAGGCCTTGGAGTGGAAGTGAGTTGTGGTAGGGATTGCTTGACATGGCTCTGACTGCTTTTACCAAGGAATTGCAGAGAGATGTTTGGGTTTGAAGACAAGCTCACTGAGGAGAGACTGCTACTACCGTTCTTCTTCCATGGAAAACGAGAAGAAGCTGCAAGCCCATTACAAGCTGAGAGCGAAGACGCCATGAGAGAGAGAGAGAGAGAGACGACAGTGGGGAGAGGGATTTGATTTAAGGGAGTTATACAGCGATGGACCAACAACGAACCAAAACCCCAAACCAAATGAATGGATAAATGCAAAAGTAAAATACCTAGTTAAAACCCTATTTAAAATAAATTTTAGTTAAATTATTATTAAAAAATAAATTTTTGTGATAATTTTTTATGTATGTTATTAAAAGTTAATAATTAGTAATATTTTTTACCACGAATTTTATTAATTGTCACTAAAATTTATAAATTTTATCTTATTTCCAAAACACCACTATGGCAAAGTCTATTTTTTTGGCTTTTTGAGCTAAAATCTACAAAAACATAAAATATCTTAAAATAGTCAATAAGATAAAATATCACATTAAACCTATAATCATTTCATTTTTCACACAAATATCATATCTAACTATAAAAAAATCTAACTATCTTCTAAAACACAAAAAATTTAGCCTATTAAAATTATAAAAAACCAAAATAGCAATTTTCCAAACACCTACTATATATTATGCAAACGCTTGATGATTATTTAAAATTATTCTTCAATCAACTAACAAATTCAAACTACTCAACTCGCAATTTAATTATTTATCGATTCACCATTTATGATTTAGTTTATAATTTTAGCTTCAAACCCCATGTGTTGATTTATAATTTTACCTTCAAGCCACACCAAATAGCATTGCAAATACCACTACTTTTTAAGTATTTTATCCTAACCTTTAGAGGTGGATAAATACAAAACAGGTTGGGTTTGGCCGAACTGACATTACAAAATAAGAAACTTCATGTCTATCCAAATATAGCCCATACATCGGGCTTATATGATCAATCCATACCTAATCCAAAAAAAAAAAAAATACAATTCCTATGCCCTCCTACTTAACCCATATATAACTTTTAAAAAAAATTAATTATAATTAAAAAAAATTAATCATAATTAAATAAAAAAAATAACATAACTAAAATTATATATGATAAGAGAGGCATACAATAAAATTCTTCTCAAATTATAGATAAATAGGAAAATGATCCGTAGCTTGAATATCTTGGGCTCGACTGGCTCGAAAGTACAAGTTTCTCTCTTCTCTCAATCTCTTGTTGCTTTCCTCTTCACCTCAGGTCACTATATTCTCCAAACAAAAAAAGAACTCTAAGCACTCATCTTTCTCAGCACTCTCACCTCTCTCTCACTCTCGTCTCTCCCACCTGTCTCTCTACTCATCCCTCTCATTCGATATATCTCTCTCAAGAACTTCCTATCTGTCTCTGGTTGCGAAAGGAGTACGAATGACAACAAAGTAAGACGAACAACGACGATGAAAACGAAGCAAGATGAACGATAATAGAGGACGAACGACGACAAATGACGAACGACGACAAAGCAAGACGAATGACGGCGGAGGACGAACAACAACCTGCGATAGCGAATCTGAGGTAAACCTAAAATCGCAAAGTTAGGGTTTACAATTACCCTCAATTTTTGTAGAAATTAGTTGGTTGGGACTGTTTGGGTTTGGATTTTGCTTGCAATTTATGTTAGGGTTTGGGATTTGGCTTTAATTTGTGATGTGTTAGGGTTTGGGATTTGCCTTTTAATTTGTTATCCTCTGCTTACATCTGTTTGGTTTTGCTTGAAATATACATCTGCGTGGTAAAATACACATCTGCTTTCAGATTTTCTTTAATTGGTTTTGGCTTTAATTTGGTTGTGCTTGAATAGTTATCCAACTAATACATCTGTTTGATGATAAAATACATGGGTTTGGTTTCAAGTTCATACATCTTTGTTCAGATTTGCTTGAAATATGTAAAATTATAAACAATAAAATCTGTCTTAAAATTATAAACAATCAAATCTGTCTTCAAATATGTGTTGAAATCTGGCTTGAAATTTGTAAATCTGTTATAATAAGTTATAAATCTGTGTTGAAATCTATTAAAAATTTACTTGAATAATTATCCAACTAATACATCTGTTTGATGGTAAAATACACATGGGTTTAGTTTCAAGTGCATACATCTATGTGCAAATTTGCTTGAAATATGTAAAATTATAAACAATCAAATCTGCCTTCAAATATGTGTTGAAATCTGGCTTGAAATTTGTAAATCTGTTATAATAAGTTATAAATCTATGTTGAAATCTATTAGAAATCTGCCTGAATAGTTATCCAACTAATACATCTGTTTGATGGTAAAATACACATGGGTTTGGTTTCAAGTTCATACATCTATGTGTAGATTTGCTTGAAATATGTAAAATTATAAACAATAAAATTTGTCTTAAAATTATAAATAATCAAATCTGTTTTCAAATATGTGTTGAAATCTGGCTTGAAATTTGTAAATCTATTATAATAAGTTATAAGTCTGTGTTGAAATCTGTTAGAAATCTGCTTGAATAGTTATTCAACTTAGGGCTGTGCAAAATACCGCCCGATTCGCTAAAACCATACCGATCCGCATCAATCCGCACCGTTCTAACCGCTAACCAAAGTTTAAACTTTAAAATTTATAATCCACCAACCAAACCACACCACTCTGCTATAGTTAATACGTATATATTTTTTAATTTTCAATGAAATATCAATATAAAAATGAATGTTAGAGAAATTTAAGATATGCAATTTATTACAAATTAGTGGTTATATATATGAAACATATTATGTAAAATTATTTTGTATTATATATCTACAAAATATTATACAAATTAGTGTTATATATTATGCAAATGTATGATAATTAGTTAAAATGTTCTTCAATCCGCCAATCTGCCAAAAATCGCCCTAACCGCAATTTGTCAATCCGCTAATCCGCTAACCCGCCATTCGGTTTGTAATTTTACTCTCCAACCGCCCGAACCGCACCGCGCACACCCCTAATACATCTGTTTGATGGTAAAATACACATGGGTTTGGTTTTGAGTTCATACATCTGTGTGTAGATTTGCTTGAAATATGTAAAATTATGAACAATAAAATACGTCCTAAAATTATAAACAATCAAATCTGTTTTCAAATATGTGTTGAAATATGGCTTGAAATTTGTAAATCTGTTATAATAAGTTATAAATCTATGTTGAAATCTATTCGAAATCTGTGTTAAAATCTATTAGAAATCTGTAAATCTTTTACAAAGCTATTATAAATCTATTACATAAATCTGATTTGGAATATGTGTTAAAAACTGGTTGTTGTTGGCTGCTTCATGGGACAACTGATGGCTTCTTCTTCTACTAATAATAGTAGATTAGAGAACTATGGCTTCTTCTTCTACTAATAATAGTAACATAAGATTAAAACCACGATTGTGTGATTGTGGGAGAACTGCGGCGATGTATATTGTACGCACGAATGACAATGGAAACCAAGGACGTTTGTTCTTTGTTTGCTTGTCGAAATATGTAAGTATCGATTATAGAATTTTATGTTTGATTGTGTACAAAGTTATTTATGTGATTTGATTAACCAATTCTTGTGCATTGTAGAGTCATAAGGAACACTGTAATTACTTCAAATTCGCAGATGAGGATGATGACGACAGTAGGTCCACAGTCCGTTCCAATGTTGGACCTCGGAAAGCTATAAGAACAGAAGAATTAAACGATATAAAGACAAGGCTTTGTGAGATGGACAATGAAATTCTGCAGTATGGTACAAGGCTTAAAATGATGGAGAAGAACTTCAAAATTATGATATATGTCATTATTTTTTGTGTCATTTTGTACTTTATCATGTAAATCTCAGAGTCTCTAACGTTATGACGAATTTCATGAATGTAATCGTAAACTTCTTTCGTATTTTGTATCTTTTTGTACATAATGATGTAAATGACCGAGTTGTTCAATTTTGAAAATTTTCATGAATACTTAATGATGTAAACTACTTTGTGTTGTGTATATAGATGAGTTTGGTCATGCAAAATGTACCTCAGGTGCCTTTGCTCAATCAAAATATAAATATTACCATAAAGAAGAGATACTATTGATTTTGCTTTTAGCAGGTATGGAATCTGCTTCAAAACCATTGTATTAGGGCAAGCCCATGTTTTTCTTTCGAGCATTGAATCAGCTAAGGCAGTCCTAAACAATGATTCAAGAAGATTCCCAAAGACATTAATTAAGTCAATGGCAAAGATAATGGGACAAAAAAGCATGTTCAGTGCCTCTAAACAACACAAGTTGATCCACAACCATCTTGTGTCAAAACATCTACACCGTCCAGATCTGTCAAATTTCAACAACAATTTAAGAAGTCTCATTGAAACTTAAGAAGTCCTATTCAAATTTCAACAGCAATCTACAGTAATTGTCTACAATAACTATGCACACAAATAGAATCCAAATTAAAGGACTTCAAAAATAACAACCTGTCAAATTGTTTTGAAACTTAAGAAGTTCCATTCAAATTTCAACAGCAATCTACGGCAATTGTCTATAACAACCATGCACATAAATAGAATCCAAATTAAAGGACTTCAAAAATAACAACCTGTCGGATTGTTCAACCCATATATCAAAAATAAATGCCGACTGGGACCAAATGACATGAAAAATAACATTCTAAAAGAGGCAGCACTATCAAATCTTTAGCAAATCACAAATTTAGCAAACCACTATTCAAATATTCTTACAAAGGAGGCAGCACTCTCAGAATTCATACAAGTTTAGCAAGCCACAAATTACAAATCTTCCATGATTAACCAAAAACACAAAGGGTCAGACAATGGCCAACAATTACTAGTGCAAAACTAAAAATAAAATGGGACATTTGGATCCACATCTATATTCAAGTCAACAAATTTTGATGGCACTGTAGAACTTTAATTGCTTATATTGTTAACCATTCCTGATGTGCTTCCAATATTGTTTAGTGTTTCCATTGTAATAACCCTGTGCCTATAAAAACAAAGTACATATTACAAATTTTGTTCAAAAAAATATTGACCGATAAAAAAAATTAATTCATCATTAAAATATGTGTACTCATATATTGAACATGTACCGGTACATACATACTGTCTTTTGTGCCCACCATAGAAGGAAAATAGTAAGATTGATTGTGCGGCTGTAGACACCCCATTTTGGACCAACCTTAAGACTCAGACATCATCGCTTGTGCGCGCGATGATTGTGCTCGTTTTGAGTGCCCGAGGTTCTCGGCTGGATACCGTGTCTTTGAGCCTCTAAACCCTCTGTGTTTTGGCCTTGTTTTTGGGCCAGACCTTGGTGCCTCTTGCCTAGAGGGGAGAAGGGCCATGCCGGCCACTTTTGGCATTTGCCGGCCATTTTTTCTCCTTGCCAGCCACTTGAAGTGGCCGGTCGGCTAGTTGAAGTGGCCGACCGGCCAGTTGAAGTGGTCGGCTGCCAATTCTCTCATTTTTCAGATCTTTTCAGATCTTTTGAGCCAGTTGTTGCACACTGACTGTATCCTCCATACACGTGTATGGATGGATTCAAACAAGCTTCTAGCTTGTCAATGAAGCTTTGGCTTGCTTGTTCAATATAAGGAGGGTCCCTCTCCCTTATTTGGGGTTCAGAAAATTTAAAGTCTAAATTGAACTCTCTCTAGAATTCTCTCCGTCTCTCTCTATATTGTGCTTGAAAATGAGTGTTCTTCACATATTTTGCCTACAACCCTTAGCCAAACATCTTGACCTTGGAGCTAAGATTCCCTAAGGCTTGTTTGGACTTCCTAAAGCTGGTCTTGGCTCAGAAAAGCTATTGTCTTGTTGCTGTCCTTCATGGGTGAGTGTACACGCGCCCGTGGGCCTCGCTACAATTCGAACTCAATTTGTGTCACGGTCCTTAATCTGAACCAAATAGTCCAAATCCGGCAAATCGCTTTGAGAAACAGATTTTTGAAAAGAAGTGCCAAACATTGACTGCTTTGCCAGATACAGAGTCGCCACCTAAATATTTTTATGGGGGAATTTAGGAAACCCTGACTCGGTGCCAAAGGCCACGTGTCCCGTCATCACCAAAGTTGCCTCGACTCGGGAACTTAGGGATAAGAGGGGAAGGTCTTGAATTGAGCACCCCTGCTCGCTCGATTAAAGATCGGCCTCTACTAGTCATTGATGTGAGAATTATTAACACAATATGATTAGACCGTTCAATTATTAATACTATCCTTACTATGTGGAGCAAACAAATATAGACCAGATGACCTACTTTGGAGTGTTCTAATCTCTCGCCATTTGAAAAGGGTTTCAAAGCATAAATCTTATGAAAATAAGATAACTAACATGTGAAGAGATCATATTCCAATTCAAATAATCCAACCTTCACCCACAGGCATTCAGGCAGTAAATCACCTAAGCAATTAGCCTCATGGAAAGCATGTTGTTGTGTTAACATTCACACTCATGCGAGATGCTAAAGCATAAATGCTTACAGTGTACTCCGAGCCAAAACAAGAAACTAGTTAGTAATCATGCATGATCCTAGTTCATGTTAGCAATGGCTAATGCAACACAGGCAAGATTCAATTTAGAATAGGCTCGGCTAATCTAAAATGGCATGTGAGATGTGACAATTCAATACATGTATTCAAATTGGAATTAAAATATGATGCAGTTAGTATGATGTGCCGAGCTCGGTGTGTGTAATACGAGTGAATGTATGCAAACATACTATCATAAGTATGCTAATTGAAACGTGCCCTAAAACTAACCATTGTAAGCGGTTAAATAAAAGGGAGAAAGACGTGGGGTTGGAAGACATGCATCACACACACGCACGCTTATTACACAATTTGCCCTCTTTCGGAGGGACCGAAAGAATAATACAATTAACTAACCTACAAGCTAATTAATTATTACAGACAAATTAATTAATTAACAAATTAACTAATCTAATAAAAGTAGTAAACAGCCTCGGGAAGAGGGCCCAATGCAATGCGCACTCGGCTTTGCTCGGAAAGCCACTGCCATGCACAAGTTGCCTCTGCTTTGACTGTTATCCTTCTCTGAAGACTGCACAAATCTCAGGGTTGCTTCCCTGAATGCTGTGGAACACCACCGGCTGAGGGAGTTGGTCACCGGCCATGGAGAATGGTCACCGGCCACAAATTAATCCATCGGCCACTTATGGATGGCCGGTCGGCACTGCAGATGGCCGGCCGACCAAATCTTCCTACAGAATCTGTTTTTGACAGCAGTAGAGGGCAAAACATAGCATGACAATGTATTTCAAGCAATGTATGCACCAATCACACCCCTTATCATATTTATGACTCAAAGGGATATGATTCTCGATTCTCGGACCACCAATCGCGTATTTCCATGCATGATGGCCCAAAGCATTAAGTGTGCATTTTGATTTCAAATGAAATGCAATGCACATAAACAAATCAAGGGGCTTTGAACCTCTATCATGGCTTGATCAAGAGGTGAAGCATGCATGCAAATGCAATGCAACCTAAGTATGTGAACTAGCATACAACATGGCAATGCAATGCGAATATGCAAGTATGCAAGCAAACATACAGGGTGAGCACACAATCAAGCAAAGGGGATGGACTTAAACTAATTTAGGATGGCTCGCAAGCATGCCAAAATCAGTGGCCGAAGTGCTCAAACATGAGGACCAACACACACACACACATGCACATGTTAATGGGCCAACATTTAAACATCAAAAGGCAACTCTCAAGCATGCTTGGAAGAGACTAAACATGGACTAAGGGCATGCAATGTAAGCTTTGAAAACCATGCTAATGATGGTGCCAAACCAACTTAACCAAGACAAACATGGCGTGCAATTGGTCCGAGTACTTGAAGCTAGTCAAGGAGACTTGAATCATGGCCAAGCCAACCAAGCCTCACAAGGCCAACAGGGCTTAAAACAGGTTCGAGGTAGGACTAGACCATGCAAAGGGAACACCTAGATGGTATCCAGGTGGCTTAAACATGGAAGCATGCAAAAGAGACTAAACATGGAGCATACAACACAAGCTTTTAAGGCATCAAAGAGGCATCAAAGGCATGCATGCAAGCATGTTATGAGAGCTGAAATAGCATGGTAAGTGGTTCCAAACCACTGAAAATGATGCAAGCAACACACACTACACACTCACACACTTGAGGCTAACAATCCAAAATGCAAAAGGACTATGCAATGCATGTCTTGGTCGACCAAAACAGCCAAGGAAAGACCTTAAGCATGGCAAGACAAACATAAAAGCTTCACAAAGCTAGGCCTAAACATGCTTGAATAAGGGCTCAAAGCATAGGACATATTAAGGCTAAAACAAGGCATGTATGCTAAGCAAGCATGGTGTACCAAAACCAACATACAACAATGCTATATTATGACATAATAAGCATGAAAATCAGTCAAGGCATGGTCAATACACACTCAAACTATATGCTCCCTCAAGAGGCTAAAAATGGCCCTTTTCAAGGACAACAAGGAGAGGGGATGACCCTCTCCTTCCTAGAACCTCAAGGCACCATCCTCATCACTGAAATGGCACAAAACAAAACAACCCCAATGGTCCCGGAGGTCCAAACACAATGGTCCCGGAGCTCAACCGAAATGGCACAAAACAAAGGCCAAACAAGCCTTAAGAGGTGTCAAACAACCCCAAAGCTTAAAACACCCTTAACAAACTATTTAGAGCACTCAAAAACAAGACTTTTCTATGTTATATGTTAAGCTCAAAAACAGTTGCAAATATGGAAAAACAAGCTATGAAAACAAGACTTAAAAGAGGTAAAAGCTCACCCTTGAAGCACAGAAGCAAATCAGCAACTTTTGGACCAAACAAAGGCTTCAAATCACCCCAAAAATCACCTTCAAGGACCTCAGCTCGATAAAGGGATAGAGAACTAGGTGTTTGTATGCAAAAGTGCAAAGAAAATGCACTTTTGAGCACAAACAAGCCCTAAACCTCAGAG